TTAGGTAAAAATTTTTTCTTTAAAATTAACATATTACTATTAATGATGTTTAATATAGGTAATTTAAGTCGTCATCGTCGAGTTGCTGTCAAGTCATTTGAAAATTTTTGTGTTGCTCAACTTGAACAACGAACAACAGCAATAAGTGAGAAAAGAATGAGTATACTAAAACGCACGCAGTTAGGTAAACTATATATTTTATCGTAATTTTTATTAACAAAATGATAATAATAGAACATTAAATCATCCAAAAAAATAGATGTAGAATTTTAATGAATTCTTTTAAAAATTAAATAGAAAACTCTTTTTTATTTTCATAGATGGTTTTACACCAAAACATACGTTTTTAAAATATTAATTCTTTTCGATGATACTTTTAGGTGGTCAAATCTATCTACGATTAGATGTTCTTTTGTCAATTATTATTCCTGATATGTTAGTTTTAATTGATGAATATTCGAATGTAATTACGACTCGTTTCATGATTACACAGATTGATTCAAATAATTCATCAACATTATTAGATGAACGACGATTAAAACCTATTGAAGAACGCTGGAGGAAAATAATCAGCAAAAGAGGTCGTGGTTATTATTCAAGAGCTCCTCAACAATTAGTTTTCGCTGATCTTGTTTCATTACTTCTATTGAGTAGGAATGATGTCAATGCTGATCTTAAATTACCATATTTAACACCAAATTGGTTGAACGTTGCTATTGGTCTATTACTCTCAACAGGAAATGAAACTGGTGGTCGTTATGAACTTTCATCATCATCATTAAATCATAATTGTCCGTTACTTGATGTTGTTAAAACGTTTATAGAAGAATGGTTTAGTTCAACATTAACTCAAACTAATAATCCACGCTCAACAACAATCAGTTTTTCTTTACCAAAAGATATGTTACTTGATAGTTTTCAACAATCTACATTTATTCTAGAAAAAATTCTAACACCATTACTTCCTTGTCATTTAGTTGTTAATAAAATATATTCGTGTAGCACTTGTGAAAAAAAAATGAAAAAAAAAAAACTACAATTACATCAATACCCATCAATATTCATCGAAATGGTCTTCATTTGAACAACGATATAAATTCTTTTTTTGGACGAAGTCCTTCGGATATCTTATGTACATCTTGTAGTAAACCTACAACTCGACATATTGATATTACAGAATTTCCTTCAGTATTAATTGTTCACATCAATGAGTCACCAATAGATATCAAATATAGAAAACCACCTGATTTTGTTTCTCTTAATTCATTCGCTGATTGGCGGGCTCTTGGTTTTCCATCATCCGCCATGTACAATTTAGTTTGTTTTAATAGCATAATACGATCAGGTGGAAATGATTTGATGGTACGGGTCACAAAAGTAAAGAAAAGTTGGTCAACAAGTATCAATAAAAGAGTAATTGGTAATAGTGATTTACTCAAACGTCTTTTTGCTCATAGTCGTAAGTATTAATACTTATTATTATTTTAAAGAAATTGGTTTTTTAATTTTGCTTTGTTTTCCAAAAAAATACTTATTATTTATTAATTTATTTTTTTAAAATAGTTCAACTCAAGCTTTTTATTTGATTAGGAATTTTGGTATTTGAACGTGTTAATAACAAAACTAAATTTAATCTTTTTCAAGCAATTTTTAAATGTACACTGGATACAAATTTTACTTCATTTAATAATATTCAATCATCCAGGACAATTCAAGAGGTTTTTTCAATAATTGAAACCAATCCTCAGTTTCATGAACTAAATGATAAACTTAATGCCAGTATTAAATTCTACTTTCGTTGCAATTTTTGTGGTGATACACCTGATAATCTTTCATCATCAGATAATCAAATATTTCTTTTCAAACAGAATATGAATAATCAACTCGTCGGTTATCCAGTGGTGTCTAATAACATGAATCAAAATAATACTAACTGGATATGCAATAATTGTAATAATTCAACAAATAATCTTGAGATGGATATTCATAAGCAAGTTTTTCTTAAATCTTCATCTTGCATAATTGTGAGTTTTTTTCATTTTTACTGGTCGTACATGATATATATATATAGGTTCCAAATCATATAGATCATATGATATATTCACCTATTAGACATGAAGAACAAGTCAATCTGTCGAAAAGATTTTAACTTTGATTTTAATCCTTTTTCCTTGATTTCAACTATCTGCCTTATTTTCATGAGTTCTTTTTTTTTAAAATTCCTACAACCTCCAAACTAAGATCTCTATTACTAAAAAAGTTATCTTTTACAATGAAACTTTTAATATTGCGTCACAATAAGTATATCTATATATCTATATATTTTTTTGACACCATTATCAACAGCTCGTGTCGTCTCTATTCTCCTTTCGATGTCTTGTGGAGGATGTTGTTTGTTAATATATTTTGAAATATATTTTTATTTATCGATTTGTTCTAGAAAAATTTCATTTAATAAAAAATTTGTTTTACTACTTTTAGACTTGTACCAATCCGAAAGTTGAAAATAATCCATTTGATAATCATATCTGTTTACGTGATATGGATGATAAGGAATACAATTATGGTGCAACTGCTTTACTATGTTTTAGTACCTATAGTGACAATGTTGCTTTAGTCAAAAACAAATCAAATAAATATATACAATTAACTGGTGATAAATTTTCTGAAGAGACATCATTAACATTTAATAAACTGTCAGATATATTTGACACTAGTTCTTCTATACTTCTTTTTCATCATCAGGTATATATAGCTGCATCTGCTCGTATGTTTCTTGTTGAAACATATATGTATAAGACGAATAGTTGCTTCGAGTATTCAATTTCTCTGTCAACTAATCCATTTTGAAGCTGTTCAGCTTTGAATTTTTATAATTCGAATTTTTAACTATTCGACGTATAAATATATGTTTTCTTTGTCTATTATATGCATATAACATACTTTATTGTTTTATTATTGCTTTATTTTTTATTCATTCGTTTAGATAAATCAAACAACAAATGAAAATATTTTAATTAGAAAATTATAATGACTTTTAAAATGATATGCCGTTATTAAGTATTTTTTTTTTACTGTTGATATAGAAATAAAAACTCAACAACAACAGTCAAATACAGTAAAACCTCCCATAGTGGACACTTCTCTATAGTGGACAACTCTCTATAACGGACAGTTTGTGGTCCGACGAAACAATTTTTGCTGGAAATGAACCTCTGCATAATGGACACCTCCCTAAAGTGGACCCCTCCCTTTAATGGACACTATTTATCAGTCCCGATTGCATAAAATACCTCACTATAGTGGACACTTATTTAAATGAACAGAACGTTCTATGATGATCACAATCAAATATAGTGTGTTGACTATTGTTTATCAATTAGACGTAAGAGATATAGAAAAAAATCGTCTGTCTTGTTGTGAATCGACGAAAAATAAATATAAAGAGAATGATAATAACATTGTTTCATTTCATTTTTGAATCACAACAAGAAAAAAAGAGTATCATGTCGAATCGAATATCGTTAACTTTGGAAAAAAAGGTTGAACTAATTAAATGTGATCTAGTTAGTTATCTTAGTCATTGAAACTTCAGATATCTAAAAGCACACTTGTTTCTTTGAAAAAGTTTCTTTTTTTCTGAAAAAAGCTTAACCTCTTTAAAATGGACACCTCTATATAGTGGACACTTTTGAAAAGTCCGGAAGGTGTCCGCTATAGAGAGGTTTTACTGTAATTAAAATATTGTATTTACATAAACATATCTGAATATGTCGATCATTTACTAGAATTCTTTTTAATAGGCAGTGTTATAAAATTTAGCACTTGAATATAAAATAGAAGTTCAGATAAACTATTTGTATTTTATCATATGATGTTGTACGTTGATTACTGCCAAACTCAGAGTCATATTGTATTCTCTTAAGTCCCAACAAACAGAAATGCGTAGTATTTCATCAAAAATCAGGACGAAAGAGTGAATATTGAGGGAAATCAATCATGAATAACTCTATAAAACTCATATCTATATATATAATGTTCAGTGTGTGTGTGTCTGTTTCTCTGTGCCAGGCCAAGGGTTATGGTCATATAAGGCCATAAGGGGAAGGCACCAAAGGCTATTATATGAAGGTACCCATAGTTCCTCAAGGACTATTATATAGAGGTGCCCATAGATCGTCATGGGCTATACTGTTGAAGTACCCATAAGTGTTCAAGGGCTATCCTATGGAGGTAACCATAAATCCTTATGGGCTATACTGTAGAGGTATAGGGTAGCCCTTGAAGACCTGTGAGTACCCCTATAGGGTAGCCCTTGAGGACCTATGGATACCCCTATAGAATAGCCCTTGAGGACCTGTGGGTACCCCTATAGAGTAGCCCTTGAGGACCTATGGATACCCCTATAGGGTAACTCTTGAGGATCTGTGGGTGCCCCTATAGAGTAGCCCTTGAGGACCTGTGGGTGCCCCTATAGGGTAGTCTTTGAGGACCTGTGGGTACCCCTACAGGGTAGCCCTTGAGGACCTGTG